CTACAGTAAAGATACACATATGTCGAGGTCCTTGTTTGAGCTTCCTGTTTTTGAAAAATACCACATGTATTTGAGCAAGTCATGCAAAGCCTCACATGCCTCATTACAGAACATCTGCTTTGTAGTGGCTCGCACTTCCGAGCCCAAAACCCTAAAATGCTGCAAACCTCAACTAACCCTGCATAAGCCGGTATAACGCTAGCTGAAGGCAGCCATTCAAGTGTTGAAGTTCTTCACCAGGTTCGGGTTTATGGGGTTCATGGTGTGAGGTAACCCTAAGGGTCCAAGTACCCAATAATCATATACTTACCCAAAATCTGTACTATAATTGCTATTACCCAATACCCAAGTACCCAACTATTGGGTACTTGGACCCTAAACCCTAAACTCTAAACCCTAAACCCTATACATCCCTATATACCCCCTTTTAAAGGTACCTAATTATTGGGTACTTGGACCCTTAGGGTAACAGGTGCCTATAGGAGGCTCAACAAGGTTCAGGGTTAGGCACCCAGGAGGGTCTGAGGCCAAGCAGAACCAGTACTGTCACATTGCAAAGTCCTTTCTGTTCATGTTACCTTGTGCCACAAAACCGTGTTTTTGCCTTGTAGACTACTTTGAGAGCAAGCCGAACCTGAACTCCCATCCTGGACCTATGCAACCCTGTACGATGTAGTTTCCGCATGTTGTGAATAGTGTTTGGCGTTCGGCTACTTACCCAAAGGGTCCATGTAGGTATATGGGATGTACTTGGGCCTTAAAGTAGGTATATGGGAACCCCTTTGGGCCCTAAGTATATACCATATACCTACATGGACCCCTTGGGTTATGGCTACTTCCAGACTGGAGCACCTCGGCCAACGCTTGGAGATCTTGCTGGATGCCTCAGCAGAGCTTCATGGTGGGGTTCTGGGCTTATGCCTTACCAAGGCTTCCTGGGATCTCCATGCCTAACTTTAAACGTTAAGGGGCATATGCGTACACCGAACAATTACCCTGTATGGTCATGACCTTGATGTCTTCGCTTCTGTCAGATACCTACTCAAAAACCTTCGCTTGAGCTATAGTCAATACTTCTCATTTGTGGTGGACACGGGTTCGGACTAGGAAGCTGCTGGGGGCTCTACGCACTACCAAGAGGACCCTTATGGCCTCCCTTTGGAATCCTCAGGAAACTTCTTTTAAATTGAAGGTACCTCATGTAGCATCTGGGAGGTCTTGGCTGACAGGATGGGTTTTTGGTCCAGAAATGATTTAGGGAGCACTGGATCCTTGACATGGGTTTACGGCCTAGGCGACAGGACTACGCGAATGTATTGTGATCGAATCTAAGGACTATGTGGGTGTATAAGGCTCGAAGAGGCTTGCTAAGCGCAAAGAGCTTTCAAGTAGAATCTGCCACCCTTCAAAAGACAGTGCCATTCTCGAAAACCCTCTAGAATCAAAATCGTCCATAATCAGTACTTGCTTCCCTGCATAGTCTGCGTACGTTCCCACCATCCCCCACCTACTCTGTCTGGCGTTGGGTGCTTCTTGCTGCAGAGGTACAATCAGGCTGCTGCAGGCAGAAGAACGCAGTGATCTCCTGTTTGCACGCGCCCTCCCTGGTCCCACTTTAGGGTTTGGGTTTAGGGTTTGGGTTTAGGGTTTTTAGGGTTTAGGGTTTTTAGGGTTTAGGGTGAGCCCAAAACCCTAAACCCTCCACCTGAAGTCGCATAACTTCTGGAAATTACCATGCTTAGAGCCCGGCAGATGCAAGATTTCCTCCATCAATAAGAATAACAGCTTTGAGCTCAAATGGGGTTTCCAGCAATATGGGGGCCCCACAAAATTCAATAAACTAAACTTACGAAGACTTCGAAAAGGGGACCCCCAATTTGGTCCTCGCTTTCATGTGGGGTTGCTCAGAACCAGGGCGCATAGGGATTTTTGGATTTATGCGTATTGAGCATTCTCTCCATCGTTGGCAAAAAAGTAGCCGCCGCTGCTGTTGCTGCCCTGCTGCCGCTGCTCCCCGTTGTCTTCCTGCTCCTGCTCCTCCTGCTGATGCCGTGGCAGCTTAAAACTACTGCTACTTCTACTGAGTCCAGAAACAACTTTGCCTCAGACTTCAAAGACACCCAAAACAGAGAGACCCCTGCACTCAAAAGAACAGTGGTGCAACCTGATAACTTAGCCAAGGTCCTGTATGAGGAGCCTATCCTTGGCAACTCGAAGCTGGAAGCATTTAGGCTGATCTCCTGTTCAGTACTCCGACCCGACCAAACCGTCAGTCGTGCAACCCGGGGGCTCACTGAACAACTAACATCTTTTCCCCCATACCCTAAGCCCTAAAGTGAACCCTGAACACTAAACCTTAAACTACACCCTAAACGCTAAACCTTAAACCCAAAACTAAACCCTCAACTGGCACATTCACTTTCTCAGCCTGTCTGTCCGGACCCGGACACTCTGAGGATCCCAAAAAGCGACGGAGAAGATTAAGACAAATCGCCTTCAGAATACCCAATCCCAATATCCCAATCATGAGGTTCAGGGTTTAGGATTTAAAGGCTTTAGGGCTTAAGGTTTAGGATGTAGAGGGTTTAGGGTTTAGGATTTAGGGGTTTAGAGTTTAGGGTTTGGGGTGCCTTCACAATAACCAACCCCAACCATTGGGGCTCCAGGTCTAAGCACATACTTTGGCACCTGAGGGTTCTGGCCACGAACCCTTAATTTAAAACCCAAACCCTAAACCCCTAAACCCCTAAACTCCTAAACCCCTAAACCCCCAAACCCTAAAGTGCAAACCCTGCACCCCTAAATCCTAACCCCTAAACCCCTAACCCCTATATAACCCCCTTAATAGTAGTTTCCATTTTCTTTTCCATTATCCCCTAAACCCCTAAAACGCACTGCCTAACTTGGGCTTTTGGAGCTGTTGGGGGAGTTCATGCCTTCAACACCTCCTTGAGCTTGTTCTCCCGGCTGCCTTAAAAATGCAAAGCTACACTGTGGGATTTGGGTAGGGTTTGGGTCTGTAAGGTTTAGGGTTTTGGGGTTTAAGGTTTTGGTCTTTAAGGTTTAGGGTTTTAGGGTTTAAGGTTTTGGTCTTTAAGGTTTAGGGTTTCAGGGTTTAAGGTTTTGGGATTTAGGGTGTAAGGTGTGGTGACCATGGTCGATGCAGGAAATCTTGCATCCTTTGCCATGCGCTGTATACTGTAATTCCACGGTGTAGGGTGGTCAAGGAATTGGCTTATTCACAGGCGGGGCCTAGGTACGTCCTGTTGACGACGGGTACTTGGAGGTCAGGGTGGGTGTAGTGGGTTGATATCGGGATCAAGTATGGGGCTATAGCATCGGATCTATAACCCTAAACCCTAAAAGGGTTGTACGTATACTTACAACCGTGGATATTAAACATCATGCGTCCTTAGGGTCGCGCAAGATTTCTTATATGAACTCGAAGCCCCACTTCGAGGCCCAGGGTTCCAAACTTTTGAAAGGGCTTCCCAAAATCCTACTTCTGTGTGGGAGTTTCCGTAAGTAGGGGGCCCTGATGATACAAGCTCCAAGATACTATCGTCCTCATATAGAGACCCCCAAAAGGCGCAGTCAATTTCTGGAAGTCCTATAACTAACAGCAACCTCAATGTATTCAAGACACCGTAAACCCCAGACCGCGTGGCATGCTTCATTGGGGTCTTGCGTGAATGATCCAACCAACTTGGGAATGCGGTTTAGGGTTTAGG